TTATTCACAATTGCCAAGACTTGGAAGCAACCTAAGTGCCCATCAAGGGATGAATGGATAAAGAAGATGTGGTATATATACACAATGGAATACTACTCAGACAAAATCTATTTTAAATATCACTGTGATCTTCATGATAAAAAGTCTTGGTATGCCCATAAGAAAAATCTTTTACAATTGCTCCTGTCATGGACCTGGCCATTACCTTTAAAGCCACCCATATTTACAAACCTGAACTACTCCAAGGGAGAAAAATAGGTCTTTCTATCTGTCAAACTGCTGTTACCAGACTCTCAAAAACTGGCCTGTGATGAAATGTACATTTGTCTAGACACCTCTCTGGTTGCCATTTATTTCAGCACCATTAGAAAGCTCAGAGAAAATGAATGAATTGCAATATTGTGCTCCTGTGAAAGCTTTACATGTAAACAACTTATATTGTATAGCAGTCTGTATTTTGTAAAGAGCTTTCATGTGCATTATCTCATTTGGCTGTCAGTACCACCAAGAAGGTATTATGAGTCTCATTTTAGATGAGGAAACTAAGACTCAAATAGGATATGCGAATTGCTCAAAGTCACAATGATTCGCTAAAAATAAACATGAGACAAATACACATGGGTTTGAGTCTCAGCTTTGCTGTGGGCAAATAGTTCATCTCTGACTCAATTAGAATGCATTGTTAAAAGTAACGTAAAACTTAACAGTGACTTGAACCATAAACACATTTATTTATGTAATGAAGTCTGGAGGCAGGGAGTCTTGTGGTTGGTAGGGTAGATCAACAATGTCATCAAGGACCCAGGCTCTTTTTGTCCTTCACCTTGGGCACCTTGCTGTTTTGTCCTAAGGCTTGTGGCCTCTCGGTTGCCACAACTCAAATCATCACATCTTCACACCATAGTCAAAGTCAGGAAGAAGAGGAGAGACAAAGTAGCTTGACTTTTATTAGGGAAGAAGTACTTTCCTAGAAGCTCCTCAGCAGATTTCCCCTTATATCTTATGGGCTAGAACTGGGTGCTGTAAGTATCTCTAAACTGCAAGGGAGGCTAGGAAATAAGTACCTAACAAACAGGAATGAGATTGCCATGATTGACTCAGACCAATCAAAAATCAGTTCTTGAGGCTGGTCACCTTGCCACCCAGAATGAAATCAATGTAATGATAGTAAGGAAGAAAATGGGCAATGACTTTTGGATAAGCAGCCACAGCCTTGTTTTTTACAGTTATTTTTATTTAGTTCACTTATATGAATTGTAAACATCACTGTAAATGAATTTTTACAGGAAATCAACACTGTTTCCTCAGTACATATTTCCAGAAGTATAATTACAAAACTAAATAATGAATACAATTGTACGATTCTTGAAATATATTAGCAGATAACACTTCTGAATTTTTAAAAATAATTTCCATTACAATTACATTTATTTTTAACAGTGCATGGAATTCTTATATCCCAGAAGCCTAACAACACATGAATAATTCATGTTTCTATCATCTGTTAATTTTATGCCTTCCTTTGAAACATTAAATTACTAATTTATGAGAACTTCGTGATAAATTTTTGAACTTTTTTTCTATTTTATGGAAGAACTCCAACTTTTCTGTGTTTGTCTATTTGCATTTCCAATTTTGTGAACTGTTTCTAATTGCTTCTTTTTCTATTTTATTCATTGTTTATTGTTCATTCTTTACTCATGTAAGGCACTTGAGTAGACAGACACATAGCAGAATATGGAGTATTTTTTAAGTCTTTTATATAATGTTTAAGATTTTTAATCAGAAATGGTTTTGAATTTTGTTTCAATTTATCATCATCTCTGGACTATTTCACTTATTTTTCCTTTGACATATTAATTAGATGACATATACTAATAAATTCCAAAAATTAAAATATCTTGCATTCTTAGGATAAACCATTTTTGATCATGTTTTTTTGAGTTAAATAGTTTTTTTTCTTTTTAAACATTTTATTATATCTTTCTTTCTTTTTTCCAGTAATTTTATTGAGATCATAATGGTTTATAACATTGTATAATTTGGGGTGTACATTATTATTTATCAATTTCTGAATACACTTCATTGTGCTCACCACTAGCAGTCTTAGCGTTTTGTCTGTCATCATACATACGTGCCCCTTTACCACTTTCACCCACCCCCTAACCCCCTTTCCCTCTGGTAACCGCTAATCTGTTCTCTTTGTCCATGTATTTGTTATCTTCCACGTATGAATGAAATCATGCAGTATTTGTCTTTCTCTGCCCAGCTTATTTCACTTAACATCATATACTCAAGGTCCATCCATGTTGTTGCAAATGGGACAATTTCATTTTTTTTATTGATGTTTTAATGGTTTCTAACATTGTGAAATTTTGGGTT